TGGGTGGTACTATAGGGTGGGGTTGGTACTATAGGGTGTGGGTGGTACTATAGGGTGTGGGTGGGGTTGGTACTATAGGGTGTGGGTGGTACTATAGGGTCTGGGTGGGGTTGGTACTATAGGGTGTGGGTGGTACTATAGGGTGTGGGTGGGGTTGGTACTATAGGGTGTGGGTGGTACTATAGGGTGTGGGTGGGGTTGGTACTATAGGGTGTGGGTGGTACTATAGGGTGTGGGTGGGGTTGGTACTATAGGGTGTGGGTGGGGTTGGTACTATAGGGTGTGGGTGGTACTATAGGGTGTGGGTGGGGTTGGTACTATAGGGTGTGGGTGGGGTTGGTACTATAGGGTGTGGGTGTTACTATAGGGTGTGGGTGGTACTATAGGGTGTGGGTGGTACTATAGGGTGTGGGTTGGTACTATAGGGTGTGGGTGGGTTGGTACTATAGGGTGTGGGTGGTACTATAGGGTGTGGGTGGTACTATAGGGTGTGGGTGGGGTTGGTACTATAGGGTGTGGGTGGGGTTGGTACTATAGGGTGTGGGTGGTACTATAGGGTGTGGGGTTGGTACTATAGGGTGTGGGTGGGGTTGGTACTATAGGGTGTGGGTGGTACTATAGGGTGTGGGTGGGGTTGGTACTATAGGGTGTGGGTGGTACTATAGGGTGTGGGTGGTACTATAGGGTGTGGGTGGTACTATAGGGTGTGGGTGGGGTTGGTACTATAGGGTGTGGGTGGTACTATAGGGTGTGGGTGGGGTTGGTACTATAGGGTGTGGGTGTGGGTGGTACTATAGGGTGTGGGTGGGGTTGGTACTATAGGGTGTGGGTGGGGTTGGTACTATAGGGTGTGGGTGGTACTATAGGGTGTGGGGTTGGTACTATAGGGTGTGGGTGGGGTTGGTACTATAGGGTGTGGGTGGTACTATAGGGTGTGGGTGGGGTTGGTACTATAGGGTGTGGGTGGTACTATAGGGTGTGGGTGGTACTATAGGGTGTGGGTGGTACTATAGGGTGTGGGTGGGGTTGGTACTATAGGGTGTGGGTGGTACTATAGGGTGTGGGTGGGGTTGGTACTATAGGGTGTGGGTGTGGGTGGTACTATAGGGTCTGGGTGGGGTTGGTACTATAGGGTGTGGGTGGTACTATAGGGTGTGGGTGGTACTATAGGGTGTGGGTGGTACTATAGGGTGTGGGTGGGGTTGGTACTATAGGGTGTGGGTGGTACTATAGGGTGTGGGTGGTACTATAGGGTGTGGGTGGTACTATAGGGTGTGGGTGGGGTTGGTACTATAGGGTGTGGGTGTGGGTGGTACTATAGGGTCTGGGTGGGGTTGGTACTATAGGGTGTGGGTGGTACTATAGGGTCTGGGTGGGGTTGGTACTATAGGGTGTGGGTTGGTACTATAGGGTGTGGGTGGGGTTGGTACTATAGGGTGTGGGTGTTACTGACGCTGGCTGTGGGGTGCAGGTTGCCAGGTCCACGTCCAACACCAGCGGGATGTCGCCACCTCTCCTGGTACGGGGGGGGGAGGTGGAAGGGATACTGTGTGTGTGGTGTGTGTGTATGTGTGTACGTGTATGTATGTGTGTGTATGTGTGTACGTGTATTGTGTGTACGTGTGTGTGTACGTGTGTGTGTACGTGTGTGTGTACGTGTGTGTGTGTGTACGTGTGTGTACGTGTGTGTGTGTGTGTACGTGTGTGTGTGTGTACGCGTGTGGGTACGTGTGTGTGTGTACGTGTGTGTACGTGTGTGGTGTGTACGTGTGTACATGTGTGTGTACGTGTGTGTACGCGTGTGTACGCGTGTGTGTACGTGTGTGTGTGTAAGTGTGTGTGTACGTGTGTGCGTGTGTCTGTGTGTGCCCGTGTACGTGTGTGTGTGTACGTGTGTCTGTGTGGGGAGCGGTGGGTGTAGTGGTTAGCACTACGCTGCCCTACAAATCCGGCGATCCAAGTTCGATTCCGTCACCGCCAGTGACGGCGATTATCTGAAACTGTCAGGGACATCCCCTAAGTCGACTCAGCCTCAACTGAGTACCTGGTGCTGTGTGCAGTGAACATCGCTAGCACAGGGGAGAGACAAAGGCAGCCGGGTGTGGTGCTGGCCACCCACCCCTCATGTGCCACAGTGCCGGCCTTAATAGGTGCTCGCTAACAGCACTTGCCCCAACAGTCTGTTAAGGCTACACGGGGGATCTTTATCTTTGTGTGTGTTGAACACCCCGAGTCTCTAGACCCCGAGTCTCTACACCCCGAGTCTCTAGACCCCGAGTCTCTACACCCCGAGTCTCTAGACCCCGAGTCTCTACACCCCGAGTCTCTAGACCCCGAGTCTCTAGACCCTGAGTCTCTACACCCCGAGTCTCTAGACCCCGAGTCTCTACACCCCGAGTCTCTAGACCCCGAGTCTCTAGACCCCGAGTCTCTACACCCCGAGTCTCTACACCCCGAGTCTCTACACCGTGAGTCTCTACACCCCGAGTCTCTAGACCCCGAGTCTCTACACCCCGAGTCTCTACACCCCGAGTCTCTACACCCCGAGTCTCTAGACCCCGAGTCTCTAGACCCCGAGTCTCTACACCCCGAGTCTCTACACCCCGAGTCTCTACACCCCGAGTCTCTAGACCCCGAGTCTCTACACCCCGAGTCTCTAGACCCCGAGTCTCTAGACCCCGAGTCTCTAGACCCCGAGTCTCTACACCCCGAGTCTCTAGACCCCGAGTCTCTACACCCCGAGTCTCTACACCCCGAGTCTCTACACCGTGAGTCTCTACACCCCGAGTCTCTAGACCCCGAGTCTCTACACCGTGAGTCTCTAGACCCCGAGTCTCTAGACCCCGAGTCTCTACACCCCGAGTCTCTACACCCCGAGTCTCTACACCCCGAGTCTCTACACCCCGAGTCTCTACACCCCGAGTCTCTAGACCCCGAGTCTCTAGACCCCGAGTCTCTAGACCCCGAGTCTCTACACCCCGAGTCTCTACACCCCGAGTCTCTACACCCCGAGTCTCTACACCCCGAGTCTCTACACCCCGAGTCTCTACACCGTGAGTCTCTAGACCCCGAGTCTCTAGACCCCGAGTCTCTACACCCCGAGTCTCTACACCCCGAGTCTCTACACCCCGAGTCTCTACACCCCGAGTCTCTAGACCCCGAGTCTCTACACCCCGAGTCTCTACACCCCGAGTCTCTACACCCCGAGTCTCTACACCCCGAGTCTCTAGACCCCGAGTCTCTACACCCCGAGTCTCTACACCCCGAGTCTCTAGACCCCGAGTCTCTACACCCCGAGTCTCTACACCCCGAGTCTCTAGACCCCGAGTCTCTACACCCCGAGTCTCTACACCCCGAGTCTCTACACCCCGAGTCTCTAGACCCCGAGTCTCTAGACCCCGAGTCTCTACACCCCGAGTCTCTACACCCCGAGTCTCTAGACCCCGAGTCTCTACACCCCGAGTCTCTACACCCCGAGTCTCTACACCCCGAGTCTCTAGACCCCGAGTCTCTACACCCCGAGTCTCTACACCCCGAGTCTCTAGACCCCGAGTCTCTAGACCCCGAGTCTCTACACCCCGAGTCTCTACACCCCGAGTCTCTAGACCCCGAGTCTCTAGACCCCGAGTCTCTACACCCCGAGTCTCTACACCCCGAGTCTCTAGACCCCGAGTCTCTACACCCCGAGTCTCTACACCCCGAGTCTCTAGACCCCGAGTCTCTACACCGTGAGTCTCTACACCCCGAGTCTCTAGACCCCGAGTCTCTAGACCCCGAGTCTCTACACCCCGAGTCTCTACACCCCGAGTCTCTACACCCCGAGTCTCTAGACCCCGAGTCTCTAGACCCCGAGTCTCTACACCCCGAGTCTCTAGACCCCGAGTCTCTACACCCCGAGTCTCTACACCCCGAGTCTCTACACCCCGAGTCTCTACACCCCGAGTCTCTAGACCCCGAGTCTCTACACCCCGAGTCTCTACACCCCGAGTCTCTACACCCCTGCCCCCCCCCCCACCCCCCCAGGTGCCCCCCCGTGCCCCTGCTCCTCGGTGCCCCCCCATAGCCAAGCCCCTGCTGCTGCCCCCCTCGGAGGGGCCCCCCCCACGGGACCTCACGAGAGCAGCGCCCCCCCTGGTGAGAAGCCTCGGTTAGACACGGGACCGTGGTGCTGGTGGTGCTGGTGGTGATGATGAAGGTGGTGGTGGCGATGGTGGTGGTAGTGATGGTGGTAGTGATGGTGGTGGTGATGGTGGTGATGGTGGTGATGAAGGTGATGGTGCTGATGGTAGTCATGGTGGTGATGATGGTGGTGGTGGTGATGAAGGTGGTGGTGCTGATGGTAGTCATGGTGGTGGTGCTGGTGGTGATGGTGGTGGTGATGAAGGTGGTGGTGATGGTGGTGATGGTGGTGGTGAAGGTGGTGGTGGTGCTGGTGATGATGGTGATGGTAGTGAAGGTGGTGCTGGTGGTGGTAGTGATGGTGGTAGTGATGGTGGTATTGATACTGCTGGTGATGATGATGATGGTATTGATACTGCTGGTGATGATGGTATTGATACTGCTGGTGATGATGATGATGGTATTGATACTGCTGGTGATGATGATGATGATGGTATTGATACTGCTGGTGATGAAGGTAGTGGTGATGGTAGTGATGGTAGTGGTATTCATACTACTGGTGGTGATGATGGTATTGATACTGCTGGCTGGTGATGAAGGTGGTGGTAGTGATGGTGGTATTAATACTACTGGTGGTGATGATGGTATTGATACTGGTGGTGATGAAGGTGGTGGTGATGGTAGTGATGGTGGTGGTATTAATACTACTGGTGATGTTCATGCTAATATTGATGGTGGTGGTGTTGGTGAAGATGGTGGTCATGGTGATGATATTTAAGGTGTTCATAATGATGATATTTAAGGTGGTCATGGTGATATTGTTGATGGTGATATTGTTGATGGTGATATTGTTGATGATGGTGATGGTGTTGATGTCACAGTCTCCGGAAATGCTCAAGAGGATGGTGGTGTACAACAAGAGCTTCACCAAGTCACAAGTACTCACCAGATTCGTAACCGGGTTCACGGTGGTCGTGTGTCCGGGTTCACGGTGGTCGTGTGGCTGAGTTCACGGTGGCCGTGTGGCTGAGTTCACGGTGGCCGTGTGGCTGAGTTCACGGTGGCCGTGTGGCTGAATTCACGGTGGCCGTGTGGCCGGGTTCACGGTGGCCGTGTGGCCACATATACAATGGCTTTATATGTGGGTGTGTATGTATATGTGCATGTATCAATGTTTCTAACCGGCGAAGATGGTCCCTAATGGAACATCTTCGCCGGTTAGAAACATTTAGGCTAGCCTGCCTACGATCCATCCTGGGTTTAACCAGGCTGGATTGTGTGAGGAGCTCACAAATCCTTGAAAGATCTGGGCAAGGTCCCATCGGTGAGCTCCTCCGGCAGCAAGGCTGCGTTGGCTGGGTCATGTAGCCCGCATGCCCAGCCACCGCATGCCAAAACAGCTTTTGTTCGGCCGGATCGAGGGGGCTAAACGGGCGCGGCACGGGCTAGAGAAGAGATGGAGTGACGTGGTACGGGAGGACTTGGAGCTGAGTGGACTTGCCGATGACCGGTACCAGCGGTGTCAAGATCGGCCTCTATGGAGGAGGCTCGTGAAGGATGCTACTGGGCAGTTGGAGGCAGTCGCCCTCCAACAACAACAGAGGACGGAGGAGCGACGCTCAGAACAACGAGCGGAGCGCCGGGTGGCTAAAGCACAGCAGGTTGGCACAGTAGTGGGCACAGGTGGTGCATCAGCCACTCATCTCAGTCAGTCAACCCGTGGCACCTGGGTCTGCCCCGTGACCTGCCAGCGGGCGTTCGACACTTCACGTGGCCTCAAGGTGCACATGGCCTGGCACAAGCGTCGTGGTGACGTCACCGCCACTTAGTGGCGAATGGCGGTTGTTGTATCAATGTGTGCATGTATGTGTCTGTGTGTATATTTCTACGTGTGTGTATCTAAGTGTGTGTATCTAAGTGTGTGTCTCTGTGTGTGTATCTGCATGTGTATCTACGTGTGTGTATCTGTGTGTATGTATCCGTGTGTGTATCTAAGTGTGTGTCTCTGTGTGTGTATCTAAGTGTGTGTCTCTGCGTGTGTATCTACGTGTGTGTATCTGTGTGTGTGTGTATCTAAGTGTGTGTCTCTGCGTGTGTATCTACGTGTGTGTATCTGTGTGTGTGTCTATCTAAGTGTGTGTATATATTTGTGCGTGCGTGTATCTACGTGTGTATCTGTGTATCTACGTGTGTGTGTGTATCTGTGTGTGTGCGTGTGTATCTACGTGTGTGTGTGTATGTGTGTGTGTATCTGTGTGTGTGTGTATCTACGTGTGTGTGTATGTGTGTGTATCTGTGTGTGTGTGTTTATGATACTTAATTTCTCGCATCGCAGGGCTACCAGAAGTACACAGAGGACTTTGATCCACTCACGATGGTGAGTATTGCTCACCCACCCACCCACTCACCCACCCACTCATCCACCCACTCACCCACTCATCCACCCACTCACCCACTCATCCACCCACTCACCCACTCATCCACCCACTCACCCACCCACCCACTCACCCACCCACTCACCCACCCACCCACTCACCCACCCACTGTCTTTGTTGTTGTAGTTGTTGTTGTAGTTGTTGTTGTAGTTGTTGTAGTTGTAGTAGTTGTTGTGTTGTTGTTGTTGTAGTAGTTGTAGTTGTTGTTGTTTTGTTGTTGTTGTAGTAGTTGTAGTTGTTGTTGTTTTGTTGTTGTTGTTGTTGTAGTTCACCAAGGAGGAGATTGGAGACCGTGAAGTGAGGCTTCTGCACATCAGGAAGGTTCGACCCTGACCCCCAACCCGCGAACCCTGACCCCCAACCCCCGAACCCTGACCCCAACCCCCGAACCCTGACCCCCAACCCCCGAACCCTGACCCCCAACCCCCGAACCCTGACCCCCTAATACTGACCCCTGACCCTCTAACCCTGACCATCATACGACCCATTGACCCATTGACCCAATACCCCATCGAGCCAATACCGCAATGGACCAATGACATATTGACCCAATGACCAATTGATCAAATTGCTCATTAACCCACTACTCACTGCCCACTCCCCACTACTCACTACTCACTACCCACTACTCACTACCCACTACTCACTACCCACTACTCACTACCCACTACTCACTACCCACTACTCACTACCCACTACTCACTACCCACTACTCACTACCCACTACCCACTACTCACTGCCCACTACTCACTGCCCACTACTCACTACCCCACTACCCCACTGCCCACTGCCCACTACCCACTACTCACTACCCACTACTCACTACCCACTACTCACTACCCACTACCCACTACTCACTACCCACTACTCACTACTCACTACCCACTACTCACTACCCACTACCCACTACTCACTACCCACTACCCACTACTCACTACCCACTACTCACTACTCACTACCCACTACTCACTACCCACTACCCACTACTCACTACTCACTACCCACTACTCACTACTCACTACCCACTACCCACTACTCACTACCCACTAACCACTACTCACTACTCACTACCCACTAACCACTACCCACTACTCACTACCCACTAACCACTACCCACTACTCACTACCCCACTACCCCACTGCCCACTACCCACTACTCACTACCCACTACTCACTAACCACTACTCACTAACCACTACCCACTACTCACTACCCACTAACCACTACCCACTACTCACTACCCCACTACCCCACTGCCCACTACCCACTACTCACTACCCACTACTCACTACCCACTAACCACTACCCACTACTCACTACCCACTAACCACTACCCACTACTCACTACCCACTAACCACTACCCACTACTCACTACTCACTACCCACTACTCACTACCCACTACTCACTACCCACTAACCACTACCCACTACTCACTACCCACTACTCACTACCCACTACTCACTACCCACTACCCACTACTCACTACCCACTACCCACTACTCACTACCCACTACTCACTACCCACTACTCACTACCCACTACTCACTACCCACTACCCACTACTCACTACCCACTACCCACTACTCACTACTCACTACCCACTACTCACTACCCACTACCCACTACTCACTACCCACTACTCACTACCCACTACTCACTACCCACTACTCACTACCCACTACTCACTACTCACTACCCACTACTCACTACCCACTGCCCCACTACTCACTACCCACTACTCACTACCCACTACCCACTACTCACTACTCACTACCCACTACTCACTACCCACTACTCACTACCCACTACTCACTACTCACTACCCACTACTCACTATCCACTGCCCACTACCCACTGCCCACTACCCACTACTCACTACCCACTACTCACTACCCACTACTCACTACCCACTACTCACTACCCACTACCCCACTACTCACTACCCACTACTCACTACCCACTACTCACTACTCACTACCCACTACTCACTACCCACTACTCACTACCCACTACTCACTACCCACTACTCACTACCCACTACCCACTGCCCACTACTCACTACCCACTACTCACTACCCACTACTCACTACCCACTACCCCACTACTCACTACCCACTACTCACTACCCACTACTCACTAGTCACTACCCACTACTCACTACCCACTACCCACTACTCACTACCCACTACTCACTACCCACTGCCCCACTACTCACTACCCACTACTCACTACCCACTACCCACTACTCACTACCCACTGCCCCACTACTCACTACTCACTACCCACTATTCACTACCCACTACCCACTACTCACTATCCACTGCCCACTACCCACTGCCCACTACCCACTACTCACTACCCACTACTCACTACCCACTACTCACTACCCACTACTCACTACCCACTACCCCACTACTCACTACCCACTACTCACTACCCACTACTCACTACTCACTACCCACTACTCACTACCCACTACTCACTACCCACTGCCCACTACCCACCGCCCACCACCCACTACTCACTACCCACTACTCACTACCCACTACTCACTACCCACTACTCACTACTCACTACCCACTACCCACTACTCACTACCCACTGCCCACTACCCACTACTCACTACCCACTACTCACTACCCACTACTCACTACCCACTACTCACTACCCACTACTCACTACTCACTACCCACTACTCACTACCCACTACTCACTACTCACTACCCACTACTCACTACTCACTCCCCACTACTCACTACCCACCACCCACTACCCACTACTCACTACTCACTCCCCACTACTCACTACCCACCACCCACTACCCACTCCCCACTACCCACTGCCCACTACCCACCACCCACCACCCACCGCCCACTGCCCACCACCCACCACCCACCGCCCACCACCCACCACCCACCACCCACCGCCCACTGCCCACCACCCACCACCCACCACCCACCGCCCACTGCCCACCACCCACCACCCACCGCCCACTACCCACCACCCACCACCCACCGCCCACTGCCCACCACCCACCACCCACCGCCCACCACCCACCACCCACCACCCACCGCCCACTGCCCACCACCCACCACCCACCACCCACCGCCCACTGCCCACCACCCACCACCCACCACCCACCGCCCACCACCCACCACCCACCGCCCACTGCCCACCACCCACCACCCACCACCCACCGCCCACTGCCCACCACCCACCACCCACCACCCACCACCCACCACCCACCGCCCACTGCCCACCACCCACCACCCACCGCCCACCACCCACTACTCACTGTATGAGACAGGAGGGCCCTCTGGACCTGGCGGTGGAGGGGGGCGTGGACTCACCACTGGGGGGTAAAGTCGTTGTCTCGTCTGTCTACCAACACGGCGCTGTAGACAGACACGGTGAGACACAGAGAGACACAGGGAGACACGGGGAGACACGGGGCGTGGACTCACCACTGGGGGGTAAAGTCGTTGTCTCGTCTGTCTACCAACACGGCGCTGTAGACAGACACGGTGAGACACGGGGGTGAGACACGGGGGTGAGACACAGTGAGACACGGTGAGACACTGGGGGGTAAAGTCGTTGTCTCGTCTGTCTACCAACACGGCGCTGTAGACAGACACGGTGAGACACGGGGGTGAGACACGGGGGTGAGACACGGTGAGACACTGGGGGGTAAAGTCGTTGTCTCGTCTGTCTACCAACACGGCGCTGTAGACAGACACGGTGAGACACAGGGAGACACGGGGAGACACGGTGAGACACGGTGAGACACTGGGGGGTAAAGTCGTTGTCTCGTCTGTCTACCAACACGGCGCTGTAGACAGACACGGTGAGACACAGAGAGACACAGGGAGACACGGGGAGACACGGGGCGTGGACTCACCACTGGGGGGTAAAGTCGTTGTCTCGTCTGTCTACCAACACGGCGCTGTAGACAGACACGGTGAGACACGGGGAGACACGGTGAGACACGGGGGGTAAAGTCGTTGTCTCGTCTGTCTACCAACACGGCGCTGTAGACAGACACGGTGAGACACGGGGGTGAGACACGGGGAGACACGGGGAGACACGGGGAGACACGGTGAGACACTGGGGGGTAAAGTCGTTGTCTCGTCTGTCTACCAACACGGCGCTGTAGACAGACACGGTGAGACACGGGGAGACACGGGGAGACACGGTGAGACACTGGGGGGTAAAGTCGTTGTCTCGTCTGTCTACCAACACGGCGCTGTAGACAGACACGGTGAGACACGGGGAGACACGGGGAGACACGGTGAGACACTGGGGGGTAAAGTCGTTGTCTCGTCTGTCTACCAACACGGCGCTGTAGACAGACACGGTGAGACACGGGGGTGAGACACGGGGGTGAGACACGGTGAGACACGGTGAGACACTGGGGGGTAAAGTCGTTGTCTCGTCTGTCTACCAACACGGCGCTGTAGACAGACACGGTGAGACACAGAGAGACACAGGGAGACACGGGGAGACACGGGGAGACACGGGGAGACACTGGGGGGTAAAGTCGTTGTCTCGTCTGTCTACCAACACGGCGCTGTAGACAGACACGGTGAGACACGGGGAGACACTGGGGGGTAAAGTCGTTGTCTCGTCTGTCTACCAACACGGCGCTGTAGACAGACACGGTGAGACACGGGGAGACACGGGGGGGTAAAGTCGTTGTCTCGTCTGTCTACCAACACGGCGCTGTAGACAGACACGGTGAGACACAGAGAGACACAGGGAGACACGGGGAGACACGGTGAGACACTGGGGGGTAAAGTCGTTGTCTCGTCTGTCTACCAACACGGCGCTGTAGACAGACACGGTGAGACACGGGGAGACACGGTGAGACACAGGGAGACACGGGGCGTGGACTCACCACTGGGGGGTAAAGTCGTTGTCTCGTCTGTCTACCAACACGGCGCTGTAGACAGACACGGTGAGACACGGTGAGACACGGTGAGACATGGGGGGTAAAGTCGTTGTCTCGTCTGTCTACCAACACGGCGCTGTAGACAGACACGGTGAGACACGGGGGTGAGACACGGTGAGACACGGTGAGACATGGGGGGTAAAGTCGTTGTCTCGTCTGTCTACCAACACGGCGCTGTAGACAGACACGGTGAGACACGGGGAGACACGGGGAGACACGGTGAGACACTGGGGGGTAAAGTCGTTGTCTCGTCTGTCTACCAACACGGCGCTGTAGACAGACACGGTGAGACACGGGGGTGAGACACGGGGGTGAGACACGGTGAGACACGGGGAGACACGGGGAGACACGGTGAGACACTGGGAGACACGGGGAGACACGGGGAGACACGGGGGGTAAAGTCGTTGTCTCGTCTGTCTACCAACACGGCGCTGTAGACAGACACGGTGAGACACGGGGAGACACGGTGAGACACGGTGAGACACGGGGAGACACGGGGGGTAAAGTCGTTGTCTCGTCTGTCTACCAACACGGCGCTGTAGACAGACACGGTGAGACACAGAGAGACACAGGGAGACACGGTGAGACACGGTGAGACACTGGGGGGTAAAGTCGTTGTCTCGTCTGTCTACCAACACGGCGCTGTAGACAGACACGGGGAGACACGGGGAGACACGGTGAGACACGGGGGGTAAAGTCGTTGTCTCGTCTGTCTACCAACACGGCGCTGTAGACAGACACGGTGAGACACGGGGAGACACGGTGAGACACTGGGGGGTAAAGTCGTTGTCTCGTCTGTCTACCAACACGGCGCTGTAGACAGACACGGTGAGACACAGAGAGACACAGAGAGACACGGTGAGACACGGTGAGACATGGGGGGTAAAGTCGTTGTCTCGTCTGTCTACCAACACGGCGCTGTAGACAGACACGGTGAGACACGGGGGTGAGACACGGGGAGACACGGTGAGACACGGGGAGACACGGGGGGTGGACTCACCACTGGGAGGTAAAGTCGTTGTCTCGTCTGTCTACCAACACGGCGCTGTAGACAGACACGGTGAGACACTGGGGGGTAAAGTCGTTGTCTCGTCTGTCTACCAACACGGCGCTGTAGACAGACACGGTGAGACACGGGGAGACACGGTGAGACACGGTGAGACACGGGGAGACACGGGGGTGAGACACAGAGACACACTGTGAGACACGGTGAGACACGGTGAGACACTGGGGGTAAAGTCGTTGTCTCGTCTGTCTACCAACACGGCGCTGTAGACAGACACGGTGAGACACGGGGAGACACGGTGAGACACGGGGGGTAAAGTCGTTGTCTCGTCTGTCTACCAACACGGCGCTGTAGACAGACACGGTGAGACACGGGGAGACACGGGGAGACACGGTGAGACACTGGGGGGTAAAGTCGTTGTCTCGTCTGTCTACCAACACGGCGCTGTAGACAGACACGGTGAGACACGGGGAGACACGGGGAGACACGGTGCGACACTGGGGGGTAAAGTCGTTGTCTCGTCTGTCTACCAACACGGCGCTGTAGACAGACACGGTGAGACACGGGGAGACACGGGGAGACACTGGGGGGTAAAGTCGTTGTCTCGTCTGTCTACCAACACGGCGCTGTAGACAGACACGGTGAGACACGGGGGGTAAAGTCGTTGTCTCGTCTGTCTACCAACACGGCGCTGTAGACAGACACGGTGAGACACGGGGGTGAGACACGGGGAGACACGGTGAGACACGGGGGGTAAAGTCGTTGTCTCGTCTGTCTACCAACACGGCGCTGTAGACAGACACGGTGAGACACGGGGAGACACGGGGAGACACGGTGAGACACTGGGGGGTAAAGTCGTTGTCTCGTCTGTCTACCAACACGGCGCTGTAGACAGACACGGTGAGACACGGGGAGACACGGGGAGACACAGTGAGACACGGGGAGACACGGTGAGACACGGTGAGACACGGGGAGACACGGTGAGACACGGGGAGACACGGTGAGACACGGGGAGACACGGTGAGACACTGGGGGGTAAAGTCGTTGTCTCGTCTGTCTACCAACACGGCGCTGTAGACAGACACGGTGAGACACGGGGGGTGAGACACGGTGAGACACGGTGAGACACGGGGAGACACAGAGAGACACAGGGAGACACAGGGAGACACAGGGAGACACGGTGAGACACGGGGAGACACGGGGGGTAAAGTCGTTGTCTCGTCTGTCTACCAACACGGTGCTGTGGACAGACACGGTGAGACACGGGGGGTGAGACACGGGGAGACACGGGGAGACACGGGGAGACACGGGGGTGAGACACGGGGAGACACGGGGAGACACGGGGAGTGAGACACTGGGAGACACAGTGAGACACGGGGAGACACGGTGAGACACGGTGAGACACGGGGGTGAGACACGGTGAGACACGGTGAGACACAGAGAGACAGAGAGACAGAGAGACACAGGGAGACACGGTGAGACACGGGGGTGAGACACGGTGAGACACGGGGAGACACGGGGAGACACGGTGAGGCACGGGGAGACACGGTGAGACACGAGGGTGAGACACGGTGAGACACGGGGAGACACAGAGAGACACGGTGAGACACGGGGAGACACAGAGAGACACGGTGAGACACGGTGAGACACGGGGAGACACGGGGAGACACGGGGGGGGGGGGGGGGGGTGAGACACGGGGAGACACGGTGAGACACGGGGAGACACGGTGAGACACGGGGGGGGGGGGTGAGACACGGGGAGACACGGTGAGACACGGGGAGACACGGGGAGACACGGGGGGGGGGGGGGGGTGAGACACGGGGAGACACGGTGAGACACGGGGAGACACGGGGAGACACGGGGGGGGGTGAGACACGGTGAGACACGGGGGGTGAGACACGGTGAGACACGGGGAGACACGGGGGGTGAGACACGGTGAGACACGGGGAGACACGGGGGGTGAGACACGGGGAGGTGATGGTAGTGATGGTGGTGATGGTGGTGATGGTAGTGATGGGGTGATGGGGGTGATGGTGGTGATGGTGATGATGGTGGTGATGGTGGTGGTGATGGGGGTGATGGTGGTGATGGTAGTGATGGGGTGATGGGGGTGATGGTGGTGATGGTGATGATGGTGGTGATGGTGGTGATGATGATGGTGGTGATGATGGTGGTGATGATGGTGGTGATGATGATGATGGTGGTGATGGTGGTGATGGTGGTGATGGTGATGGTGGTGATGGTGATGGTGGTGATGATGGTGGTGATGGTGGTGGTGGTGATGATGGTGGCGTTAGTGATGGTGGTTGGGATGGTGGTGGTGATGGTGGTGGTGATGGTGGTGGTGATGGTGGTGATGGTGGTGGTGATGGTGGTGGTGATGGTGGTGGTGGTGATGATGATGGTGGTGATGGTGGTGGTGGTGATGGTGGTGGTGATGGTGGTGGTGGTGATGGGGGTGGTGGTGATGGCGGTGGTAGTGGTGGTGGTGATGGTGGTGATGGTGGTGATGGTGGCGGTGGTCATGGTGGTGATGGTGGTGGTGCTGGTGGTGGTGGTGGTGGCGTTAGTGATGGTGGTGATGGTGGTGATGATGGCGGTGATGGTGATGATGGTGGTGATGGTGGTGGTGGCGTTAGTGATGGTGGTGATGGTGGTGATGATGGCGGTGATGGTGATGATGGTGATGATGGTGGTGATGGTGGTGATGGTGATGGTGATGCTGATGATGGTGATGATGGTGATGATGGTGGTGGTGATGGTGATGGTGGTGATGGTGGTGGTGATGGTGGTGTCATTATCAGGTGGCGTGGTAAAGGGAGACCAGATCCTCGCTGTGAACGGACGGAGTCTTATCGACGTTCCTCTGGCCGAGGCCAGGGACATCCTGGCTAAAGAGTACAAAGCCAGCGGAGTGAGTGGGACTTACGGTGTCTGTGTGTGTGTGTGTCTGTGTGTGTGTGTCTGTGTGTGACTGTGTGTCTGTGTGTGTGTGTGACTTTGTGTCTGTGTGTGTGTCTGTGTGTGTCTGTGTGTGTGTGTGACTGTGTGTGTGTGTGTGACTGTGTGTCTGTGTGTGTGACTGTGTGTGTGTGTGTCTGTGTGTCTGTGTGTGTCTGTGTGTGTGTGACTGTGTGTCTGTGTGTGTGTGTGTGACTGTATGTCTGTGTGTGTGACTATGTGTGTGTCTGTGTGTGTGTGTCTGTGTGTGTGTGTCTGTGTGTGTGTGTCTGTGTGTGTGTGTGTGTCTGCGTGTCTGTGTATGTGTCTGTGTGTGTCTGTGTGTGTCTGTGTGTGTCTGTCTTTGTCTGTGTGTGTGTCTGTGTGTGTGTCTGTGTGTGTGTCTGTGTGTCTGTGTGTATGTCTGTGTGTGTGTGTCTGTCTGTCTCCGGGGGGGGGACCACCAGGGCATCCTTCCAATCCTGCGGATTGGAAGGATGCCCTGGTGGTCCCCCTTTTTAAGAAGGGGGACCGCACAGACTGTAACAACTACAGGGGCATCTCACTCCTCAGTGTGCCGGGAAAGGTCCTGGCAAGGATTATTCAGCATCGCCTTGCCAGGCACGCTGAGGAGAGGCTTGCGGAGCCCCAATGCGGTTTCAGGAAAGGGCGGTCCTGCACAGATGCCATATTTTCTGTCCGTCTGCTACAGCAGAGGTGTAGGGAATTCCAACAAGACCTACATCTCTGCTTTATTGACCTGGTCAAGGCCTATGATACCATCAGTAGGCCTGGGCTCTGGGTCGTTCTTCGTGCTTTTGGAGTACCTGACCCTCTGCTCACGATCATTAAGGACCTTCATGATGGTGAGCGGGCCCGGGTAAAACTACGTGGCCAGGAGTCAGAGCCATTCCCTGTACATCTTGGGGTGCGACAGGGATGTCCTCTGGCTCCCACATTATTTAACATCTATTTTGACCACGTAGTTCGTGAAGCCTTCAATAGCTGTACCGGGGGAATCTCCATATGGTACAGATATAATGGGAGGCTAATCGATGCCCGGGTGCGGTCAAGGGATGGCTCCCTATTGCTCAACCACGTTATGTATGCTGATGATTTGGTAATAGCTGCTCAGTCAGAGGAGGAGTTGGAGACGCTGCTGCTGAGACTGGAGCGTGCCACTAAGAGGTGGGGCCTTACCATCAGCCCCACCAAAACTAAGCACCTGCCTGGGTATTTTGTACCATCGGACACTCCACCCCCACAACTCCCAATCGGTGATTGGGCAGTTGTGGAGAGAGTGGAGAGTTTCCCATACCTGGGCAGTGTGCTTATGACTGGCTCCAGTTTAACAGCAGAGGTCTCACTCCGAATCAGTCGAGCGGCAATATCTTTTCATCGGTTGCGTAACGCTGTGTGGAAGCTACCTGGTCTGTCGCTCCGCACTAAGCTTCAGGTCTTCTCGGCCACGGTCATTCCCTCCCTTCTCTACGCTTGCGAAACGTGGACCCCCCTAATGGAACATCTTCGCCGGTTAGAAACATTTAGGCTGGCCTGCCTACGATCCATCCTGGGTTTAACCAGACTGGATTGTGTGAGGAGCTCACAAATCCTTAAAAGATCTCGGCAGGGTCCCATCGGTGAGCTCCTCCGGCAGGCAAGGCTGCGATGGCTGGGTCATGTAGCCCGCATGCCCAGCCACCGCATGCCGAAACAGCTTTTGTTCGGCCGGATTGAGGGGGCTAAGCGGGCGCGGCACGGGCTAGAGAAGAGATGGAGTGATGTGGTACAGGAGGACGTGGAGCTGAGTGGACTTGCCGATGACTGGTACCAGCGGTGTCAAGATCGGCCTCTGTGGAGGAGGCTCGTGAAGGATGCTACTGGGCAGTTGGAGGCAGTCGCCCTCCAACAACAACGGAGGGCGGAGGAGCGACGCTCACAACAACGAGCGGAGCGCCGGGTAGCTAAAGCACAGCAGGTTGGCACAGTAGGGGGCACAGGTGGTGCATCAGCCAGTCATCTCAGTCAGTCGACCCGTGGCACCTGGGTCTGCCCCGTGACCTCCTGCCAGCGGGCGTTCAACACTTCACGTGGCCTCAGGGTGCACATAGCCTGGCACAAGCGTCGTGGTGACGTCACCGCCACTTAGTGGCGAATGGCGGTTGTTGTTGTGTCACTGTGTGTGTATATCTATGTGTGTGTGTCACTGTGTATGTCACTGTGTGTGTGTGTGTCACTGTGTGTGTGTCACTGTGTATATCTGTGTGTGTGTCACTCTGTGTGTCACTGTGTATGTCACTGTGTGTGTGTCACTGTGTGTGTGTCACTGTGTATATCTCTGTGTGTGTGTCACTGTGTGTGTCACTGTGTATGTCTCTGTGTGTGTGTCACTGTGTGTGTCACTGTGTGTGTGTCACTGTGTGTGTCACTGTGTATGTCACTGTGTATGTCACTGTGTGTGTGTGTCACTGTGTGTGTGTCTGTGTGTGTCTGTGTGTGTCACTGTGTATGTCACTGTGTATGTCACTGTGTGTGTCACTGTGTGTGTGTCTGTGTGTGTCACTGTGTATGTCACTGTGTATGTCACTGTGTGTATATCTCTGTGTGTATATCACTGTGTGTGTATCACTATGTGTATCTGTGTGTGTCTCAGGATTGGATGGATCTGGTGCTGGGAGTGGCTCCACCCAAGTCCTATGAAGATGAAGTGTAACTACCATCACCCGCATCACCATCATCACCCCATCACCCCCATCACCCTCATCACCACCATCACCCCATCACCCCCATCACCACCATCACCACCATCACTACCATCACTACCATCACCCCCATCACTACCATCACCACCATCACTACCATCACCACCATCACCCCATCACTACCATCACCACCGTCACCACCATCAGCCCCATCACTATCATCACTACCATCACCCCCATCACCCCATCACCACCATCACCCCATCACTACCATCACCTCCATCACCACCATCACCACCATCACCCCATCACTACCATCACCTCCATCACCACCATCACCTCCATCACTACCATCACCACCATCACCACCATCACCCCCATCACCACCATCACCCCATCACTACCATCACCCCATCACCACCATCACCATCACCCAATCACTACCATCACTACCATCACCACCATCACTACCATCACCACCATCACCCCATCACTACCATCACCCCATCACCACCATCACCCCATCACCCCATCACTACCATCACCATCATCACCCCATCACTACCATCACCATCATCACCACCATCACCCCCATCACCACCATCACCTCCGTCACCACCATCACCACCATCACCACCATCACCACCATCACCTCCGTCACCACCATCACCACCATCACCACCATCACCCCATCACCACCATCACCACCATCACCACCATCACTATCAATCACCCCATCACTACCATCACCCCATCACTACCACTACCATCACACACAGTGACAACAAAGATCAAAGATCCCCCATATAGTCTTAACAGACTGTAGGGGCAAGTGCTGTTAGCGAGCACCTATGAAGGCCGGAACGGTACACGAGGGGGTGGGTGGCCAACACCACGCCCGACCGCCTTTGTCTCCCTAGTGGCAATGTTTACATACCGCACCAGGTACTCATTTGAGGCTGAGTCGACCTAGGGGAGGCCCGGGACCGGTTCAGCGTGAGCGGGAATCGAACCCGGGTCGCCAGGTTCATAGCGCAGCGCGCTAACCGCTACACTATCGCTCCCCACAACACACAGATACACACACACAGATACACACACACACAGATACACACACACACAGATACACACACAGATACACACACACAGATACACACACACAGATACACACAGTGACATACACCCACAGTGACATCATTACCCCATCACCACCACTACCACCATCACCACCACTACCATCACCACCATCACTCCCACCACCACTCATCAACATAATCACCATCAACACCACCACACTGGTGGCACGTGTGGGACTGGTGGCACGTGTGGTGTGTGTGGTGTGTGTGTGTGGTGTGTAGGGTGTGTGTGTGTGGTGTGTGTGTGTGTGTGTGGGGTGTGTGTGTAGTGTGTGTGTGTGTGGTGTGTGTGTGGTGTGTGTGTGGTGTGTGTGTGGTGTGTGTGTGGACTGTGTGTGGTGTGTGTGTAGTGTGTGTGTGGTGTGTGTGGTGTGTGTGTGGTGTGTGTGTGGACTGTGTGTGGTGTGTGTGTAGTGTGTGTGGTGTGTGTGTGGTGTGTGTGTGGTGTGTGTGTGGTGTGTGTGTGGTGTGTGTGTGTGTGTGGTGTGTGTGTGGTGTGTGTGTGTGGTGTATGTGTGTGTGGGGTGTGTGGTGTGTGTGGTGTGGTGTGTGTGTGTGGTGTATGTGTGTGTGTGTGTAGTGTGTGTGTGTGTGTGTGGTGTGTGTGGGGTGTGTGGTGTGTGTGGTGTGTGTGTGTGGTGTGTGTGGTGTGTGTGGTGTGTGTGTGTGGTGTGTGTGGTGTGTGTGTGGTGTGTGTGTGTGTGTGGTGT